AATTGTTTACCACACTCCTAGTGTTATATAGTCTTTTGTAATAATGTAAAAATTTCTAGTTCCTTCCATGCCATAAACTTCCGGATAACTGTAATTTTGTACATCAGGCATAAAATCTAAAATAAAATTAGAAAGTATATAGAAATGTGCTTGCGATGAGTATTGTAAAGCTTAAATAGAATTATAGTTACTTAATAAAAAATATTTATGTAACTATATACTTAACAATGTAATTTATACACTTCACCATCATATAATACAGGACTACAATAGTACAATGCATTATGCACGTTTGTTGTAAATTAATAATAAGAATAATGATTCGATCACTGCGTATTGTTTTTGATTGAAGACATCAGATAGCATAACGATCGAGCAATATCAATTTTTCTTTGTTGTAATATAGTATTGCATAATATATTTTTAATGCAACAACCGGTTAGGTCACATATTATTTTTCGAAAATTTAAGTAATTTATCGATTTTTTTTCTCCAAAATTGATCGCATTAATTAGTAACAACTTAGTTTATACATATACCTAAATCAATACTATTACTACTGTATTTCTTTCCTTGATTTTAAAAATCAAATTGTTTCATCAGTTGTTATATAACAAATGTATCTATCTATATATATATATATTTTTTTTAAGTAAAATACTTTTCAAAAATGCATGTTCTTTTTCTATAATTATTTATAATCTACATATTGTACACAGAATCGTCAATTGTACAATTGGCGTGTCATAAAGTTTAAAACCAATACAGTTAAATAGTTAATACATTTATATATTTATATATATTCTTTCATAATTACCATGATTCAGGAATATCATACTCTTTTGAATCGAAGGTGAATATCGCCAGATAGTTGGAACGACCAAGAAAATGATGACGAATGCGATACCAACGAAGCCAACGGTCGTGTAACAGGCCCTTGAGTAATAAGATTTTCAATAATTGTTATGGGCCATTTTACACAAATATTTAATTACAATTTTTATCAATATGAATAATACTTAAATTATTTTACAAACAAAATATTCACTATATAAGTACAAATAATTAAATTACTAATGAAGAATTATTATGTGTCTGTGTGCTATTCATTATTTTATATTGCTGTTTTTAAGTGGTAAAGCTTTTGTTATTCCTATAATTTATTTAATTTCATGATGATAATAGACTAATGATAGTTTAAAACGTAGTTATTTTTCAAATGGTATGGAACATAAAATAAAATATTATATATATAACTATAATGTTTGAGCATATTTACTTTTATATTATTAATTTTTTTTCCATAACATGTATTACTTCTTAATCATATAGAAAATTGATTTTTCATCAAATTTATGAAAAAAATTGTCCATAGAAATTCTAAAAATAATATGGTGTTCAATATTAAATATAAAGTACTTGTAGAAGTGATGAAATTATCTATTATATATATATATTTTTTTTTTTATTAAATAAATAAATAACATTGCAACATCTAAAAATTAAATTTTAATATTAATATATTATAATATACAACAAATTATGTCATAAGTTTCTATAACAAAATACAATTTATATACATAATATTTTACACGAATTAAAACAATAGCACAGTTGATAGTTTATTATGCGTTTTTATTGTATTAATTTTATCTGATTACTTACTTTCCCTTAATGCAGTTGATAAACATCTTTGGTTTTTTATCTAAATAAAAAAATAAATATGTATATCACTATATTATATAATAAACAGTGTTAATAGCGATATTTTTATTATCATTAAATATCATCAACTGTGTAAGTCACTAAGTAAATTTACATTTTTAAAACGTTAAAATAATGGCTTATCTAATTTTAGTTAATTTTTTTTAACACAGTAATAATTATGCATTTTAATTTGGTTACGTTTCGTTGTACAAAATTACTTTTTTTTTAAATAATATAATTACTATCGTGATATTATGTAATCCCATTAATCACTAGCAAATTGTTAATTATATAAAAAAACACATGATTTTTTTTATTTTAATTTCACTTTAAATAATATTAAAATATAATTTTTGTTAAGTATTTATAAATTATACTGAAAATTTTAAAGAGCATGCACACCGCGTGTAATATATACTTGTAAGAAATTATAATATATATATATATATATATATTTAAAAATGTTCAGGAATATTGTAGCTAATTAAAGATATATATTTGCATAGCTGACATTCGGTAAGATGTAAACAATTTTTTTTTTTTGTTTAAACTTTTATGTTTGTTACTCTTGTACTAGTATCATAAACTATAATATATAATATTACATTTTATTATAAATTATAACGTTCAAATAGAATATAAGTAATTACAGTTGTTAAATAACTGGACACAAAAAAAAAAAAGTAAAATAGATCAAAATTAGTATTTATAATTATTGTTGAATGCGATTGGCTTCGTAATTATTAAATTCAAGGAATGTTCTTTATTTAAAATAACCTTTTTGTTTTGTATATGTACATTAACTACCTGAAATAGCCACTAGATAGCACAACGTAATACTATATTTATAGAAATATAATAGTGAGTATAGTTATTGTATGGTCAAACAGTTATAACTAAAGAAATGACAAAGCGTCAAATATATTTTTAAAAACTTATAAATATTGATTTTGGTTATTTCCAATTAATTGTAAAGGTGTTTTTTTTAACGATATTAGAGCTAAAAAAAAAAAAAAATTGACAAATGACGAATATTTTTTAGAGTGCTACGTATCACGTATCAAAATGTAAAATAAGTATTATTTGTTTATAATCTAAATCTATTCAATAATATACGTATTAACACAGGATAACCATATTTATAAAAGCGATCGGAACAGACTACATTAACGTAATTATATTATAAAAAAAACCAACCTTCAAACATTTTTAATGAGGTTGTTGAAATAATGTTATCCTGTTAGTTACGGCGAGTTTTCAGATCATAAGAATTCATAATTACACAGAGAAATACACCAATATGTCATGTCTCATTCTCATTACTCATAATTGTCTGTAAGAAGTAAGAACTTAACGTCCGTCATTCAAAAACTTTTGTTTATAACTGTAAACAGCGATTTCATTATTTAACTGTGATAATAATATCGTTTTTTATTTGTTTTATATACAGGATTTTTTTATTTTTTATTTAACGCACGTAATAATACGAACATTTCAGGATCAAAACGAGACTATTTCCCATAAACAGAAGACAATGAAAATCGCTTTTAAAGTTTATCAGGACACGATGTTCAACAACAGGACACAACAATAGCTTTTTGACGGCACATATGGTAACCTTTATTATAATAAATTACTAATCCCAGGTGGATTAAAACTTTTAAAAAATTGAAATACAGGTTGGTAAATTTTTAATTTTCCTTTGATTAATTTATCGTTAAATCAGATATAACTTCTTTAATAATTGTATTCACTATTATCATGTACGTAAGCAAGTACAATTATCTGAATGCTTTGAATTATAATGATTGAATTACGTGCTTAATTATTGTGATTAATAGTATTGACAATATATTATCTAGTAAAAAAAAGGACCAAGGATTACTGTAAAGTGTTATAACTTACAAGTTACGACTTATGTTGTGGTTTTATTTAAAATGTTTACAAAATCATAGATATACAACTATTAGTGATGGATAAGTTACTTTTGAAAAGTAATCAAGTTAATCTACTCGTAACTTATTGATTTTAATAATGCAATTACTAAAGTTTTTAATCCAAAAAGTAAGCTAGGTACGTTACTTCTCGTTAGAAAAAAAAAAAACTGTTAATTGGTACACAACAGTGTTAATGAAGCATATTATAAGTCCATTGTGTTATCTATTTCACTGTACTGTAGTGGAATACTCTCACACTACATTGGATTTGTCCTGTTTTAATGTACCTATTAAAATATTATTAATTTATAACTATTCGAAAATAGTACTAACTAGTAACTAAGTACTAGTTAATATTAATTTTTTTCAACAGCCATTAATAACCATTATAGCATAGATGAGTTGGTATATTATCGAAAATCAAATCAATTTACTCGATAATTAAAAACTTTTCTTTATTAATTTTTTAAAAAACCTATATTTGTTAACATTGTTAATACATATAAAAACTTAGTATCGCTAGTACACGCTAGATAATTATAGGAAACGTTGTTCTGCGTCATTAGAGAAAATATAATTAAATAATTAATCTAAATAACTTTAATCATAATTTATGGCACGAATTGATATTATGTCAAAAATTATTGAAAACTATATAATCGTAAAGAGTTAAAAATAGAATGCATTTATTTTACACTTGTTTTTGCGTATACTCAATCACTGCAGTATGGACATTATTTTATAGTATAACTTTTTTTTTTTATTAAAATGAATAATATTGTAACTACAGACGAAACGGTAACACGTTAACGATTAGGTACCTATCATAGCAATTGGTTATCAAAAGTCATTTCTATTGCATTTTAGTAACTTGGAAACAGTTCTAACCTAACGTTGCTAATAAAGTTAAGCCGTTACAATTATTTGTTACTTCCGTTACGTTATTACAAAATACTGAAAAATATCTATTCATAACGTTAACCATTGAAATAATAAAAAAAAAAATATGGACAAATTGTTTTTCATTACTTTATTTCTTTGATTGAAAAATATTCTCTCGCAAAAATATATATTTAGTCACTTTTTTTATTAATTACTTAATATTATAATAAGCCTAACATTGACTGAAAATGTTTTGCTTACATAATATAAAACGATCATATAATAATGAATACTAAACATGTTTATTGTAATATTTCAATTAATAATCTATACTAATTATAATTAAGAGTGTTTAAAGCATTGTTATTATTTTATTAATATTATTAATATCACAAAAACCCACATGTAGAGACCAGATTAAAATCAAATTAAAATAAATGTCATTTCATTACACTTTCACAGACGTCATACACTTGAGACATCAACTGTTATAAATTACAAGATTTTAAGTGTTTGTAGTAACGGCTAAAAATAAATATTCGGCGTTAATTATTATAGCTTTCATAATTTTACATCTGTATTAATATTTAATACTAACTAATCTCTATTGTATAAAATTTGTTTAAAACCAATGAATCTTCTAATAAAATCTAAAATTCAGAAATAAATTATCTAAATTTTCAAGAACATAATATTACATTAATATCACAATTTACAATTTAAAGTCGTTTTTTAATTAGATGTTTCTTATCTTTTGACTTATTCATGTGAATTAGCAATTCTAATATTTCAAAATCACCAATGAATATTGATTGCTCCTAGGAACCTATATTTGAATATTATATAGATATAATTATAATTTTTAGATGACTTTAATTTTATGATGTCAAAATAAACCAAACGTAAGAAATTAAAAAAAAAAAAAAAAAAACACACACAAGTGAGTTATCCAATAAATTTGAATCAACAATAATTAATAATCTAGTAGACAAATAAAATGCAAATACATCTATAAACATGTTATAGAATTTTATATTATTATAATAAATTATTATTTATATTTTTATAAATAAAAACTTAAAAAATGGGAAATGGGAATCATTCTAATTAATAGTATACAAAAAATGATTCTGAGCGGAAACGGTTTGTCAACCTATATTACTAAGGTTATAATATAATATTTTGATATTGTTATGAATGTAATTTAATTTAATTTACTACTAGCATTACGGAAGGTCGTTTTAATTTTTCCAAAAATATTGAAAATTTAATTTTAATAATATTATGTTTATAATAAAAATAAATATTGTATTATTATTATGATTATTATATTTTGTTATTAACTTTTAAATTTAAATCAATATATAGATATAAGCCTTTCTGTAAAACAGTACGAATAGGTTTATGATATAAATAGATAAATATATCTAAAATCAATCTACATATTTTTTAAATGCTATTACATAAAGTAAAATGTATAATATTACATTTACGTTCAAGAATCCAAAAATTATGTTTTTAAATTATTACAGAATAATGTCATGTTTAAAATATAATTCTAGTATGAATTACTTATGAGAGAAACTGAGTAAATTAAAAATTAAGATTATATTAATGTTTCGATACAAAATATTTAAAGTCCATGCCACGAGACAACGCATACGGCGGTCGATCGAAACTCGTCTTTCACTATGCATTCTCGTAAAAAAACTGTCACCATAATATTCTTACGTTGTGGGTATATGCCATTTAGATGCGCAAGCTATATGCGTTTTTTGTGATGCGGAATATATTTTATCGACTTTCATAATTTTACAAACATTTTAATATCGAATGCATATAAAAACAAATCGAGACTGTATTTTCAATAGTTTTCTTACAGATGAAATGTATGTTGGTCGTTATATTTAATTTTATATAAAAATATTAAAAAATTGAATATTTCAACTGTCCATTAATGATAATGCTATTTCTACCGTGAAAGCTATATCAAACATATTATAAACATTTGATGAAAATTCAAGTTTTTACGAGCATTACATAAAATTTTTCTTTCTCCTTTTTTTTTCTTTTTGTTTTTTTTCCGATCTTTTGAAAAGTATTGAGAATTAGTATTCAATCAATATTAAATTGGATTAATTTTTAAAATATATAATACATTTTTAATTTAACATAATATCGTAAAATATTATTGCATTAGATTAATAATAATAATAAGATTTTAAAAAATGAGCAATGTTAAGTAAAAAAAAAAAAAATAAAAGTTGTATTAAAAAGTAAATTTTTATTGCGTATTTACTAAAATGATATAAAGCAAACAACCACTGTAATTTTATTTACCAGGTCATTTTATTAGTCTGGCCAATTTATTATTTTTTATATATTATCTATCGAAATCGAGAACCTTAGATATGGTGTACTGTAATTCCGGCGGACTGTGCACTTAAGTCATAACATAATACATAATTTAATAGTTTGGGTTATCAGTGTATGTAAAAATTGTAGCGTCAAAATGATAATAAATATTGGTACTCACGTGGTTTATAGTTGGTTTAACAGTCGATGACTTGATTTTGATGGGATTTATTGAAAATATCGATTGATTTATGTTATTATATTTATTTATTAGTTACATCGGAAATTCATTAAAAATTTGTGACACGGCAGTACAGTGTTTATACCGTACTGGTGCGTGCCCTTTCACGCTACACAGGCGACAGTCTAATCAAGTAGGTATAGAAAACGAGTTACGTCCTAATAGTCGACACTTGGCAAAACTGAAACAAAAGGCATAGTATTTTAGGTGGGTCCATCGAAAACGTCATAGTGACCACGTTTGGGAATGAAAACATTGTTTCACAAGTACGCGTACAATATTATTGTAAATATACGATTGGTTATGAACGACCATAGACATAACGATATGTGCGACTAAACACAAATATAACAGTGTGTATTTTTTTGGCGCTTTAATTAGGCGTCGGCACATTAAAATTATGTGCTACAAGGTAATGCGGAAGTTATTTCCGTGCAACGCATATACGCCACAACGTCCACCACTCCGTTATTCACTCGCTATTATTGCATTTTTCAACGTGTGATGTAAGTTTACTATTATACACGCTCACGCTAAGCATAAATTATTTGTTAACAGTTTGCCAGTGTTGTTAGAAAAACGATATACATCATGCCGAAATAAAGTATGGCAAACACTACAAATTAAAAAGAAAAAAAGAAAAGAAAAGAGTGAAGTTTCAAAACAAAACACACCAAATAGTTTTTTATGTTAACAATGGATTATTTATGATTTCATATAATGTTATTATTGTTTTATTATCGTGTAAAAAATGTCTCTATACTAATGAATATTTTATGTTCGATAATTTGATATGTGTAAGACATACAATTGTATAAGATATTGTAGCATTAATGAAGTATTGATATATTTTTTTAGTAATATTGTTATTACAGAGTATTCGAAAATCCTCAAATCGCATTATATTTTCAGAAAATTTCCAGTATAAATTATAATTGGTTATGATCGATATTGAATTCTTATTAACATTTTTATTTGTATCAGACACATCTTACTACGTGGTAGAAATTTATTATTTTTTTGATGCGTTTTTTTAGATGGGTAGTTTTTAAATTTGACTTTTTTTGTAAGATAGAAATTTCTAAGCATTCATTCTCGTATACATTTTTATTCTAAACAAGTAATTAAATATAATTTCATTTATAAAACTACAAAAGTTTTATTACTTTCAAAGAAACGTGATAATTTAATGTAAAATTGATCACCATATACTCATTTTTTAATGATTACAAACGTGTAGTATAAAAATTATGATTACAAATATTAATTCGATATTTAAATTTATACTTAAAAAACTTTTATAATTTTTAAAAAGAGTTAATAATTTAAAAGATAAAATTTATATGCACGATGTTAATTTTAAATAACTATTATATAGTTTAATTATTTCATTAGTATACCTAAATAAATAATTAAATTGTTTATCAAATTTTTAATAATACTTAAATTTTAAAACGGTAGACATTCGTAATATTTATATAAACTCTAAACATGTACTGATTTATGAATATCAAAACCAATTCAATATTTTTATTTAAAAAAATTACATATTATGATAAACATATAGTATACTTAATTAGATTTCAATAGTTATGATTTACTATTAAGCTAAACTGACGCAAATAATAATTGTTATCACTATAATAATATACAGGTGTGCATAGAAATATTATTGAATTGTTTAAGTGTTTATACATGTGTCTTTAGAATATTAAACTTAATTAGTATGCATTTTTTTTAATCTAACATAAACACATAGTTTAACATACAAATAAAATTAAACTTACGTAACATCTTAAAAATTAGCTGTATTCGTTATTTAAGTGAAGGAAAACGTGAAACATAAATATACAAAAAAATTATGCAGCAATATGTGCTTAAACTATATGTCATAAACCTTGTACATAGTAATGACGTGTATTATATAATATATTCTAATAATAAAATTTATTTTTATTTATAATCAGCTTGATTACTGTTGATTGAACGTTAATATATTATTTCATATATTACAATACCTGAACAGTTTTTTTTATAAAAGATAAACAACAATTTTAATTTTGTATAATTATTCTAATAAAAATGATTGATTTATATTTTGTTTTAATAATTCTGTATGAATAATTTTTATAATTTATTACAATTAAAGTAATGTATTGTCTCAATCCAGCAATTATATAATAATTACGAGTGTTGTTAACTCGAATAATATGCAATATATTTTTGTTTATAATTAAAATTCGGAATCGCTGATTAGGTAAAGATTAATAATCTCAAATTTAAATTTTTTTATTACTAAGCGTCACATTATAAACTATATTCATAACTCAATATTAGTAAATAGTAATTACATCGCTAGTATAAGTTTCTGTGAAGTTATGTGTAAAATCGTAGGTATAATCCAAAAATATGGCAGTTATAATTTGTAATCTTAGAAGTCTTTATAATAATTCAACAATAGTAAAGTACCTGAAAAATAATAATATTGTTCTTTCTTTTAAATTTATTTATCAATAAATTAATCGTGTAGAAATATATATCGCGTAGGATATATTTTATATCCTCTACTTAAATTATATTATTTTAAATTTCTTAGGTGTAAATACTTTGGTGATGATTAAATTATATTATGTATACCGTTATTTAAATAATTTATTCCTATAATATTATAAAACAGTCTGAAATATTAATTCGTGTATATTAAATTGAATTCATAGTAATAAGTGTTTTATTAGTTATATTTAGATTGACCAATTGAACTTCATAGATAATTTTTTTTTATTTTTCAATTACTTATAAAATTCATGAATTATCTATTGGCTACAAAATATAAGTCATACATAAGTTATTTAAAATAATAACTATGAACTTAGTAATATTAAACAAAAATATTTCATTTTGTTATTGAGTACGTTTCTGCAATGGGTATAATTAATTTAAACTTAAGATAAATCATTGTATGCGATGTTAAACTGGTACTAAATGGAGACTTCATTTCTAAGGATATTTGTTAATGTGTTTTAACTTTACTACTATCAGTAATTATTTTTTCATCAGTAATAAGGAAGGTTGAAATATTCTTTATGAAAACAAATCATAGACATTATATTATTATTATCATATGATTAGATTTTTTCAAACTTAAATATCCATACCCACGGACAATAGTTTGAATAGGCTAGTAGTATAAAATTGCTATGAAACAACGAATAGTAAATGAGCGAAAAAATATGTGGATAGTGATTATGGCAACGTTACCTATAATTACATAGAGGTAAAACATTATTATTTCTGATGACACCAACCGATACATTACGCTCCGAATCGAAGACAGCGGTTACCCCGTTGTGCCCCGTATTCCCATTCTACCCTTGGTTCCCATAAATAGCATATAATTAATTTAAATATTTTTAAAATCTTATATAATATATATATCTAACAATAATATACATAGTAATGTAATGTTTCTTGCTCAAACAAATTATACTTTTTGAATCTAAAAAAAAAAAAGAACAATTGTTTTTATTTTTGGTTTAATTATTCAATTTTCTTAAAGGATCAAATTAAATTTCTTTAAAATAAAAATTACATTTTTAATTTTTAGAATATTAGTTTTCTTTAAAAACAATTTATGAAAAACATTATTATATTAAATCATCAATTCCTTAGCTGTCATAATTTAGAATATTATATATTTTTGACAATAAAATAATTTACAAAATTTTGTGATTTTGATGAATTTCACTAAAAATTATCTACAAATTAAAATAAAATATAAATATATTCATGTGCTTTTAATATTTTTCAATTAACATAAAAATTTTTATGTGGGATATTGTACATAATTTGTAATGATGTTTTACTGTGCTTAAAATGTTTAATTAAACAAATTATTTAAACGTTTCATTTTGTTGATAAAACGAAAAGCTTTTATAATCTGTAATTATTAAATCAATAAATGAAAACAAAAATATCAAATTTAATTTTTTCAAATAGCTAAAAAGGTAAAAGGTTAATAAATGGGAATAATTTTGTTTAAGGTATAATATTAATGAGAGTATTTTGAACGTGGGATATTTTGAAAATGCATCAATATTTAAACGTAGGTATCTTATGAATAATATAATATACTTGTGGCCTTTAGATTTATAGTTGTCTTATTTTAATTCAAGTTATGTGAAAGATACATGGAATAGACACTAATTTTTAGACCAAAAATCTGGCATCATGTTATTTCAACAATAAAATATCTAAATGTAGAATGATATGAGAACTGATTTAATCAATTGAGTAATTTAATGTTAAAATATTGTATCATTAAAACTATGAGTAAATTTTTTTTTTAAAATCTTATACAGATATCATATTTTTAATAATAGCCTATTGGTGTAGTAAAGGGCTTAAATTAATTTAAATAATGGGTAATATTTGATTATTATATGCTATTATTTATAAGGAATTGTGTATTTAAAATGTTTAATACATTGTTGATCATACATATTTTTTCCAAAAACGATTTATTTCCACCACATAAAATATATACACTTTCATTGTAATATTATTAAAAAACTAGTTAATTTCTATATTTTATTCTTACATAGTTCTTAATGGCTAATATAATAATTTATTGATATAATGATTATAAATTATAATAATTATAATGTATATCTGATTCGTAAGTGATAATGGTTTAGATTGTTTAGAATAATAACTGGAAATATTAAAATTTGTTTTCAAAATTCTTTTACTTTTTAAATCACATTGTAATATTAATATAATATACAATAATTCTGCTAGGTCAAGGACAAATTATTAATTTATAAGTAGAAGTAAAATAAATCACGGTACTTAAACTTGGAATTCTAATCGGATTTCAGCGCATTCGAAATTAATATTGGAATGACATAACAATCTTAATTATAATATAATTATATACTAATCTTAGTGCCTACTTGTGGTATTTAAATTATTGTAACATTCACTTAAAAATTCAAATTCAACTTCCCCTCCATCAACACCTACCTTGAATACTATAATAATTCACTTCAAAACTACATGTAATTTATTTATTTTTTTTAATATATTTATATCGGGTTTTTAGTAGAATTAGCGTATCCAGACATAAAATATTCTTGTATGATAAATATTTATTGATTTTATTATTTACCTAAACTATGATATATGCGAATCGATTGATTATAATATATGTATATTGTATATACTCTATATTAAACAAACACATGCATACAATAGAAACCCTAATAATTTATGTTCTATTAATAATAAGGAAT